TTTTTTTACTAGTGGGTGCAGGACACTATAGTTCATTTATGTAAGTGAGGATAGCAAAATAAAGTAAACTGTGCCAAATCATACCCAAAAATTCTTCATACAGTGGACTACCAGTAAAATTTATACAAATTTGGGACCAAAAATTATTCAGACCGAGTCTGTGAAAAAACATTGAAGTTGAGGTTTGCATGAAGCTGGATGACAGCATGCCCAGGAGACTACAGGCTGTCATTAAGGCTAAGTATTGATAGTTGTATAAATACTGTCATACTACAGCGGTCTAATTTTTGGTTGTAATCTATTACATACCTTTCTATCAAAGTTATCTAACATTATCAAGCTGAATTTTTTCTGACACAGTTTAACTCTGAGTTCTTGTCATATTTTATTACCATTTTCTAAACTATAGCAAATAAACTATGATAATGGGAGAAATGTTGAATGTGTCTGAATAAACTTTGGCTTGACAGTATCTATTTGATAAATTAAGTTAACCAACTAACATTATGCATACTCTTTTGGTTTCTGTACCCAATATTTTAAAAACTTACAAATGCAATAAAAATATTGGTATCGGTACTCGGTATCGGCAAGTACCAAAAAATAAAAGTATCGGTATCGGGTGAATACTGGAAAAAGTGGTATCGGTGCATCCCTACTTAAAACCATTTTTACCTGGTGAAAATACTAGTGTTCTAATCATTTTGGCCACCACTTTACGCATATATATATATATACACACACACACACACACACACAGACACACACACACACACATATATATACATACATACAGTATATACATATACATACATATACACATATATATATATATATATATATATATATATACTAGGGGTTGCACCGACTACTTACTGTGAATCGCGGGTCCTATAGAGGGCGCAACAGGATAAGAAGTCTTTGAAGGACTTCCACATTTAAGCTCCATTTCCAAACAGTTCAAATGACAAATAAATGCATACTCTGAAAGCGCTCCACAAGACACGTTTTAAACCGCTTATTGTACTGCTGCTGCACTGTAACGCACACACATAGGCTACAGACAGTAGCTCGTACATCACGCACATAGCGCGCGCACAGAATCATTCAGCACGGAAATGTATCGTCAACACTGTTCTGTGATTTCTCAATAAAATAGCTTAGAAACTGAAAAGTTCTAGTATATATTTCTTAATAACTAAATCCCACAGCTTCACTACAGGTAGAATTAATTCACACACGCAATCACTCTCACTAATGCATTCATATGAATGTAATCTTTACTGTGCTACTTTATCTGTATCTGATTTAGAACAAGCCGAAATCTATGAGAAATATAATGACCCAAAGACAAAAGAACTGATAAAAATGAGCTGTTATAGGAGCAATAGCCATGTGAGCAGCACTGTGTCATATGACATAGCTGTGCACAAGGTGTTTGTCACAGCTCCAGACTTATTTGTTCATTAATGACATCAGCGACTAGTCGACTTCGACTCTCATCACAAAAAAGTCGACTTTAAAAAAAAATCAGAAGTCGTTCCACCCCTAATATATATATATATATATATATATATATACACACATATACATATACATACATATATTTATACATACATATATATACATATATACACATATTTATATATACATATATACAGTGGGGAAAAAAAGTATTTAGTTGCATAAAAACACTATGAACTGTAAAATTAGTATTAAAAATATTAAATATAAGTAAATTTTTATGTAATATTTATTTAGCCAGGAAAATGTGACAACATTAAGTGTAACAGGGACACACACACACACACACACACACACACATATATATATATATATATATATATATATATATATATATATCAACTGCCCTACTTCTCATGAATTGCCATTTTAGTGGTGTTTGGAGTTTTGTCTGTGTGTGTGTGTATGTGTCTGTTTGTGATGAACTTACTCTTGCCATCATGTGTTCGTAGAGTGTCCAGTAAGTCAATGCTGGCACTGCCCAGAAGTTCCTTCCTCAAAGTGTGACAACTCCACAACTTCAGATCCAAACGACTCTGAGGAGTCACGTTCCTGTACAAAAATAATAAAAATGTGACCATACAGTACGTGAATAAATGTGGTCATTTAATAAAGTCACCCAGAACTGAAATCGCTTTTTAAAAAAGATTTTAAGAGGTTGTTTTATTGACTGTTTTTACTTGGTTACCGATTACTGATTCAGTAGTTTTAGGTCATTTGAAATTAAATAAGTAACCAATGTAACCAACTGTCTATAAGCACAGTCACATAATGCCTTACAGGGTGAGGTCTTCATTCCACTGCAGCTCTAGGTGTCCAGTGCGTTTGCCTGTTTTCTTCGTTTCACTGGTCAGCCCGTCAGCAGTCACTTCCACAAACGAACTCAACCGAGAGTGACGATTGGGCAGTTTAGGAGACTGAGGCTTAGCAGACAACACTGTGAGATGAGCAGAAAAGAAAAAGAAAAACTCTTTCAACTCTTAAACATTCTGGAAGACGTAGTGCAAAATTTCAGAGAGAAGCAGAAAGCAATGAAGTTATGATTCAGTGCACATCACCCTCTAGAGGAAACACGGCACAGTGCAAAAACACATGCAAGACTGTGCAAAATTTCAGTGAGAAGCAGTACATTGTATTTTTTGCCAAGTTCTAAATTACTGTGAATCAAACCATTACAGAGTTATACATCCCATAATATTATATTTACAATCAAAATGAACAAGAAGTAACAGTAATAGCATCCGGTGGAGGCCCTAGCATTCTGGGGGCCTTAATTTTCTAAATGGGTCCCTTTTCACCTTATTGCAAAGTCTCACTTAGTATATTTGAACTGAACTGAGCTGGACGATGAAATCACTGAATTAATGATGAACCGACTAACTGAAAATTGAGTGTTTACTGTTTTGCATTATAACACACTATTTTTCCTATTGAATACTGTAAAGCTGCTTTGACACAATCTGTATTGCTAAAAGCGCTATATAAATAAAGGTGACTTATATTTATCTTTGAAGATCAATTTATTTCTGAAGTAAGCTAACATAAGATTTTAAGTATTGCTTTTTGAAAAATGTATCCGCTGTATGCAGAGAAATGTGGGACTGCAGCTTTTAATACAATAAAACAATACACAATAAAAATTTATAAAGTAAACAAATGTGTATCATCATAATTCAACTATCATGCTTCTTTCTTGTCTTTTTCCTGTTTTCTGCACCAGACTGATAGCGCTACCTCTTAGGGGTGTGAGAATTGACAAAAATGTTGCCAATATTTGCCACCTTACATTGATTTCCAGGGGTCTTTTTACCTTTATAAGAGTAATATTTTTCTAATCTTATTGAATCTATGCAATATCATTTTTGTAAAATTGTTACATTTAATCAATATAATAAAATAGAACAATAAGATAAGTTTCCAATCAAATCCTGTTTTGTACTGCGGAAGTGGGACAGAAGCTAAAGCAGCATTTCGATGCATTTACACTGCAATCACAATTGCAAAAATAAAGCTATGAGAAGACATTTTGAATACTGACCTTTTTTTTTTTTTTACAAAATGAAAAAATACTTTAAATATGAAACTAAAACAGCAAGTCACTGGTTCAAACGGCTGATTAACTTAGTAACTAATTAAAAGACTGTCTTCATGACTGGATCATTAAATCGTTGATTTAAATGATGAATTATTCAGGAATGAAACTGTGTTGATCAGAGGCGCACAACAGTTCCACTGTGGATTTGGAACTATTTCAGTGAAATGGAGTAAAACCAGACAATATTACAATGCAAAACACAATATTAACTTACAAAATCAATAACACATTCATTCACAATCAAGCTGATATTTGGGTAAAACTGTGCAGCGTACACTTGCTTGTGTGATATTGCTTAACTATATCATATTTGGGGCAATTTTGCTGCCATATACTGAATTGTTTAGGCATTTTAACTGCATTCTACTATGATACATCATGCAGTAAAATTGTGCACTCCTAAGGCAGTTTTTCCCACCCCAAAGTGAGTGACATACTTGATAAAGTCAGCATCCACATCAATAAAACAACAATTACAATACATCTGACACATCTGATACATCTGACCCTAACATCTGATGGGCCACACCAATAATTAATATGCTAACATTTCATTTTCATTTTCGATTTTGTTTAATCGTACTGAAAGAAGCATTTATTTTAGCCTTGAACTCAATGATGCAATGCGTCTGGTGTTCTGCATCGCACTTCATCCCATCCATTTACAGCCCCTCACGCGCTCTCGCATAACATGCTCATTTTCTGGCAGAGTGAAAAACATCACAGAGCAGAGAGGACACAGACAACGAGCTGACAGACAAGACAGAGCAGGTCACTTCTGACAGAAAACAAAGGCTCAGCATCCAAATTTTGTTAGTTTTATTAGGAATTATATAGGAAAGATAAATACAGTTTTGGAGCTCTTTATTGGCATGACGGTTCACATGCACTCCAGCAATGCCTCAGTTCAGTGCATTCTATAATTAGCATGAAATAAACATCAAATGCACATCCGATCCAAGTTGAAAGATAAACTACTGTACAACTTAATGTATAGTGTCTCATGTAATCACTCAATGAGTGTTTGGATCGTGTTAATACAGCTATAAAACATTGTCACATAACTGCAGAAAATCCATTCAGTGTCTCACTGGATTATTACAATTAATGGCAAAATGAATGTTTGCAAATATAAACTGATATTTCCTACTGACACACTACAGCAAAAGACAGACATAACTGACTTAAAACCACATTTAGCTGCTGAAAATACTAGTGTTCTGGTCATTTTGGCCACCACTGTATATGTTCCACTCAAACGGCATTAAAGTGTGCGAGACGTGAATTTAACCTGTATTTATTTACAGAGGTATATTATGTCATACGTCTCTAGTAAGTTTCGTCTGTGTGTGAAGACGCTGCAAGCGCAAATCCATGAATGAATTAGGATTGGGCGATGTCTACAAAATTGTCATCGGACAATGTACAAATAACTGACAACGTACTCAATATCTCGTTCATTATCGAAGGCAATACATCGGCGATTATTAACGCGATATAGCAGTGATTTACGGCTCTGTGTAGTAAATGCTGCTCCATCTGAAAGCACGTGATGGAGATTTACTACTAATCACAGAACCGGCTTTACTGACCAGATGACAATCACATTCGATTATTTGCACAGCCCTAATCTAAAAACAATACCGTTAGTAGGACATAAATTGTTCTTTAATCTCTACGGCACGTTTCTGGTCAAGTCTAACGATGTCACCTTTATCTCTTATACAATACAGATTGTTTCAAAGATATTAAATAATAATAATATTGCACTAATATAAGCGGAGTGTATATCTAAGGACAATAGACCAATTTGTTGGCAGAGGATATTTACATGAACTCCACCCAATCAACAGCGCTGCAAAAGATACATGTTTTTCTGCAGTATCAGTGGCGCAGGGAGTAATTGAGCCTGTATGCGTTTGACCTGATTTCTAGGCCGGCTTTTGTCAAACTCGTGCTTCTCCTTTTCCCATCACATATCACATCAGAAAGGCATTAATTTTCAATAAAAATTAAGTAAATATTTGAAAAGTGGAAATAAAACACCTCATTAATAATACATGTTATTAGGCATCCTTAGCTGTTGGTGTAGGGAGGTTTGTCCCAATAAAGTGGCATTTATCTAATACAATTTATAAGCATTATAATTTATACTCAATATGTTATTGCATACTGTTTTATAATGTACTACAGTACTGAAGTATAAATATCTGCCACCTAACTACTACTACACACGCCTGCTGCTAAAGCTTCTATTTTAGTGTAAACTGAATTTATTTGCACTTAGTGTAACTGGAATATATCGCTTTTTCCGCTTAGTGTAACTGCCAAAAATATCACCATTCAGTAAAAGACAGCTCAGTGTTGATTGTTTTGTTCAAGTTCATCATCCATTATGAAATGAGATAAATTTGGCAACATAATTGTTTACTAGTATGAACCCTTATAAACAAGCCTCTGTAAAAAGAACGGTTAGTGCATTTATTTGTAACGTCATACTGTTTTATAATGTACTACAGTACTGAAGTATAAATATCTGCCACCTAACTACTACTACACACGCCTGCTGCTAAAGCTTCTATTTTAGTGTAAACTGAATTTATTTGCACTTAGTGTAACTGGAATATATCGCTTAGTGTAACTGCCAAAAATATCACCATTCAGTAAAAGACAGCTCAGTGTTGATTGTTTTGTTCAAGTTCATCATCCATTATGAAATTAGATAAATTTGGCAACATAATTGTTTACTAGTATGAACCCTTATAAACAAGCCTCTGTAAAAAGAACGGTTAGTGCATTTATTTGTAACGTAACAACCTCGACAGCTGTGTGGAGTTAATGTTCAGTGTTTGTCATGTGACAGCACTTAAGCATACTACTCTGAAACACTTGTTGCTTGTATATGGTTTCACACACTATTCTTTTAAAAAAATAGTAGGCAGTATGCACTGTGTACTGGGCAGTAAGCAGTAAGCTAGTATGCCATTTCGAACACAGCCATGCTAAATATTCAGAGCAGGGGACTGGAATCGAGAACCACTTGCTTATGTAGCAGGGTAACATTACAATAATATATGCAGCACAAACTGCTTCTTTTCCTTTTCGAAAGCAGAAAAAAAAAGTTTTAATATACAGATAGACATCTTTCTGCTCCAAGACAGTTATGCAGTGTGGATAACATATTTATATTATTAAATAAGCCACAAAGACTATGATTCCAAGATCAAAGACCATCAAGATGCCAGGAAAAGCGTACTTGGACTCCTGTAAAGAATATTCAGTCAAATATGAACTGTGAGTGAATGTGTCCAGACATGATCCAGCAGCGATGAAGTTATGATTCAGTGCACATCACCCTCTAGAGGAAACACGGCACAGTGCAAAAACACATGCAGGACTGATGCGTCACATCAGCTTTTAAACCACATAACTTGCAGATAAATCAATCACAGTGCTGGTGCTCGATGGAACTGGACCTCTTACCTTTCAAAGTCAGCTGTGATTTCTCTGTGGCAGACTGAGACACACTGGCTGCTGCTGCCATCATCACATCACAGCCCTAAACACACACACACAATCATCATCATCATCCTGATCTCCACTCAGCCACTGTACATCACAATCAGAGGATAATAAGCCACAGACGTGTGTGTTTGTGGAGATCTTCACTGTGAGCATTACAACTCAACAGAGATCATCCGAAGCACAGACACGATCTTACAGTTCAAATCAGGAAGATTGTACACAAACTGTGAAGCAATCAGAAGAAAAATGCTGAGCAGGTCAACAGCAAAGCCATGATATCTGCTTTATAAAGATAAAGGTGAATATCGCAGTCTGACAGCTTCATCGGTCAGTAACTGATTTTGATGAGCAGACACAAACAAACAGATATTTGTATTAAAACGTACGGTATACAGCAGGGTCAGCTGATCATAACCTCACATTTATATTCGCCTCAGATTTAGACACCTGAAAGACTCATTTCTGCAGTTATTTAATATTTATAATCATTGCTAATTTTAAGTTTGATTTCTCGTGATGGGTGAGATAGTGACGCTGTTCGGCTAGCTGCACATCATTTTAAGATCAAGTCACAATATAGTTGAAATTCCAGAAGAACTCTTAATAAAAGCGGACAGACTTATATGGGATTTAACCGGTTTTCTGTTTATAATAACACAAAAATGTTTTGGTCTCTACCTTTTATCTGCCGTGAGACTGTGAAGCGCTAACTGTCATTTCCGCTTTAATGTCAGGGTCATGTGACTCACAGACCAGCGCCGCGGTGGATCATGGGAGCGGATACTCCAAACGTTTTATTGTTTTTTTCGCAACTACAACAGCCGAACACACTCGTATCGTTCTTGCTAGGTACATTTTAGTTCATTTAAATTTGTGTTAATTAAAACATATAATTTATTGCAGCATTCATTTAATATTCAGGAGTATTCAAAGGTTTTCATTGTTTTCGCCTTTTCATTTTTTTTTCAGCAAAAGAAGATCTTAAATACAATCAAAATAAAAATGTAAATGTAAAATATGTTTGTTCCTCGAATTAAGATATAAAAAAGCAGAGCTGTATTTATTTCAGACTTTTTATTTCAGGAATATTAGTTTGTTATAATGAAAAAAGACAAAGAAAAACAAGGAGTGAATAATCTAGGACAGAGCCACCAGAGCTGTTCAACTAATACAATCAATCCGACATGACTTGAATGCACATACAAGTTTACACATAATAAGGATTATAAAGGAAGCTGGAACGATTGTTAAAAGCCAGCAGTGGTACTAAACGAAGAGCCGTTTGGGAGCCCAGCTCTTACTGCTGAGCTGAGCCAAGTGATCTGGACCGAGCCGAGTCGTACCACGCAGTGGAAAAGCGCCATAAGAAGAGGCAATAAAGCGGCCACAAGCCTCACTGCACTCTTCTTTCTGAAAATCATGTGGAAGAAACAGAGTTGTTTGAAGTCACTTTTATAAGCCTATTGTGATACATTGATACATTTGATAAAACATTGGTAAACTGGATTATTCTGATCCCAGCAGAAGGGTGGATTTCAGGAACAAAAATGTAATAAAACTTTAAAACTGGTCCAAAAAATACAGCATTTGTAACGTGTAATATATCTCCAAACAGCTGTCAATATCAAACAAAAATATCATATTTAATATAAAGTTTTTGTTTTTTTTACTACATTTTTACAACTACATTGGCACAACCATCAGAGATGGAAGTAGTTATTTGTGTAAATGCAATGCAAAACTAGAATGCAAAACATTAGCTTTTTTTTTCCATCACCATGTCCCTTTAGGGGCTCCGTAGAGCACTACTAATCCAGATCTGCAAAAGTGTGTATCTGGATCCAACCCAATCCAATTTTGCTTTGAACAATCGGCACAAAAGCAAGATGGGTTACCTGATCCTCGATAGCAAAATATGGGATTTTCAAATCCAGATCATTCTGATCCAGATTAAACTTTTTGAACAACTAGCCCCATAATATGAAAACAGCTTTCAGAAGATTTTGAGGGTCTTTTATCTGAGGTGATGATTTTAACATCCCTGGTAGTTTGGAATGTGTATCCACAGAAACAAGCAGCATATTTCCTTCAAAAGGCCCTGCGAAGTGTAGCTCTTTTCACCAAGAAGATGGCCAAATATGAGAAGGGTATAGAGAATGTGAGCTTGACATAACCTTCAACTCTATTTCTTAAAAATAAAAGGCTCCAAAAGGGTTACGCTATAGAAGAACCATTTTTGGTCCCCAAAGAACCTTTCAATGAACAGTTCTTATTTTGAAGAATGTTTTGAAAATATAAAGAACCTTTTGAAAGGTTCCGTGGATGTTCAAGGTTCTTCATGGAACCATCAATGCGAGTGAATTCGATTGAGTGTATTTCAATGTCTAGTCCTGCTCATCAGATGTAACTTCCAGCCAGCTCCCTCATCTAGATGATTGAATGTAGCTAAATGCAGCTCCTCTAGCCGTATCTGAATTAAATATAGTAATATGTAAACAGCATCATTTTGTGCACTAAATCCAGCAGAAACTTCAGCACAATTGGCAGATTTTTAAACACTAATGACAGACATGACTACCTTCACCTCACAGTGATTGGCTGCTGCCTGGTGTTTTTTACTTTAGTGTTTTTCAACTTTAGACTCCTGACCACTCTTAACACTTTCTCTGATTCAGTGTCAATTCCACAATCCCCAATGCGCAAGTGTGGCTCCCTTATGGAGGAATTGAAAATCACTTGTGAATCCTCAGCCTTCCCAATCCTTTTCAAGGTTGAAGAGTTTGGATGTAGTTGGCAGCATCCATGTTCCCTTTAATCGTGACCAATCATCCGTTCCCCACTGAAGAGTAACAGCTCCACAGCATAATGCTTGACAGGTATTTGCTTTTCCCTTGGAGTTTCAGATTCACAACAGGTGTGAACACACATAAATTTGTTCTTAACCCTTTTTCTAATGTTAATGAATTTGGATAAATATGCACTTGGTTAGTAATTTGAATAAATCACACTCATCTCCATATAAGGGCTTTCTACACAACTTCATTTTTCGCTCCTGCTCGCTCACTCCTTCATTCACACTCTTGTCTGATGTGCAACCAGACCCTATAAATTAATAAACCGGTTTTATATTTGACTAAACAACATATGATCGAGTTTCTAACCTCTCAATTGCAGCTGTACATACAAGCTGCATTTTTCATATCATGTCATTTTTATTTGATTTGATGTTACTCAGAAAAAAAGTTTAAAAATAGTTTTGAAGAGACACTAGTTATTCCATTTCTACATTAAAAACATTATATGATTGTTGCGTGCATATGCTGGCTCAATGGTACTAATTTTCTTTATTTCTTTTTATTGCATTTTAACTTTACACATGTCCATATACATTTCCATGTAACAGAGAGAGCACAAACCCCCTAAAAAAATTATTTTGCAGTGATATACAATATCACCTCTTTTCTTAGTCTTCTATCAATACATTTCCAACTCCATCTTCCATCTAAAGGTCCCCAAACTCCATCAAAAATTATGCATCTTTCTCTTAATATACAGTATAATGATGAAATTAAACCTTTTCTAAAACAATTTATTGTCACTTCTTTTTCCAAGATAGACAATGATGGTATATCAAGGGAATTATTTTGTGATCTGATGGTAAAATGTCTTATTTGTAAATACTTAAAGAAATGTTTTGTAGGAATGCATTAACTGTTTCCTCAAATGACATACGAGTATTGTTAACATATAGATATGCTATCTTTCGAATGCCCTGGTCAGCCCAAGTCTTGAAACCTGTCAAGCCAAGTCAAGGAACTAGCTTTTCTGCATCAGAAACCGGTAACATATTTCGTAACTTGGCAATGTTTCTAAGATACCTATGTCTGGTTTAAATTTTTCATTGCCCCAAATGGGACTAAAACAAGATAAAGGGTAGAAGGCTTTCAATTCTGATGAATATAAACACAAATTTAAAGGCAGGCCAGAATTTATGGCAGCTGATTCCATATCCACCCAAGACAGGCAGTCCTGAGATAAAAAATAATACATAACTGTTCTAAGTTGCACAGCCCAGTAATACCCAGTAACCTATTTACATATTTACTGACATCGCTCGAGACTTACTGATATAAAAATTATAATGAAACTTTATTTGGAGTAATCAGTGTTGGGGAAAATTACTTTTAAAAGTAATGTATTACAATATTGCGTTGCTCCATAAAAAAGTAACTAATTACGGTACTTAGTTACTTTTTATGAAAAGTAATGCGTTACGTTACTTTTGCGTTACTTTTAAAATCTGGACAGGGCTTGCTTGTTTGTTTTTAAAATAAAAAAGTTATATTTTTAGCAAATATAAAAGCCTTTTCACACCAAAAGTGAAATTAATAAGCCTCAGGCTGAAGGGAAAGTAAATTTACGTCCGTACCGTAGAATGCAGAAGAAGAAATATCGACACACTTTCCATAAGCATAATGGTTTTTATACTGAACTAATCTAATATTTTCTATGATTTATAAGCTTTTTTTCTTTTGGGGCCCAATAAAATAGCTCCACAATGTCAAAATTTAAATGATTTACTACCTTTGTGGGGACATTTGCCATCATAAGCAGTACACATACACACACACACACACACACAATTTTACTTCATATTCCAACTTTGGCAATGACAAATGTATTCTATTCTTTTCAGTTCTGTGTATTTCTTTCTTTATTTTAACGCCCTGCAATCAATCTTTTTTGTGACATAATTAGTAATTAATGTTTTTTAATATATATTTCAATAAAAAAAAATTTTATGTTGGGTTTTGGGTTTGATGTTAATTAAAACCTTTTTACATCACATTAATTTCTTGAAAACTTTTTACCATATACCTAGTTTTGAAATAAGATATTACATATCAGCATATTACATGTTAAAGTATTAGAAGTTTGTTTTTAAGTTGAGTAAATCTTTAGGTTTAGTGTTTACCGTTAAAAGTGATTTATATAATTTTAAAATATAAAATATAAGGTAAATATAATTGATATATATTATATTTAATTTACAGTAGAGCTGTAATTTTGTCAAATTAAGCAAAAACTAATTATTTCCTATAGTGTGTATTTGTTATTTTCAACACATCCTATAACTTAATAAATGGATTACATGAAATTTTTCATTTCAAGATGATAACATTTATCTGAAAGTAAAGTTTACCTGTCGAACATTAGCCTGTTTAAATTAAATTATTTTAAACTGAACTAGTAAACCAGATTAAAGCAATGTGTCTAGTTAGACAGTAAGAAAGTGTGTTTTAAATGAGTTTATTATCTAAACTGCCCATAGTTGAAGAATCATCCAATAATGTGAGGCGCAGCACTGTGTGGTGTTTTCTCTGAAGAGTTGTATGACGTGCCTCATCTGTAGTTTTTACAGACTCCTGCGCAGGACGTAACACACGTAAAATGACTTACACACGCGCATGCGCAGGGTCCCCTGGCTAAATGCTAATGCTAGCACACACTGGTTTGCAGCGGCCCTAGATAGCAACAAAATAAACTAACAAATAACCTTAACTCCGAATTTACTCTTTAATGCGAACTTTTACTTTACACCATACTGCGCTACGGCGGTCAGTTAAACGTGCTTCAGTAGTTAATGTTTGGTTACTAAGTGAAAGGGTAGATTATTTTGGCGCTCGGGCGGACCTGTGCTAGTCTAGCTAATGATTCTTACTTCTCAGAAAGTTAACATATAACGGGATAATA